GAGGTGTCTTCAAGGATATTGTTGTTTTAAGGTACACGTGACAGAGTTACCTGGATATACAGTTCAAATACACACACTCGCACTGCTGACAACTTTAATCCTCATCTCAGAAGTTGTTCCTGCACACAAAAGCAGCAGAGCGAGGTAGACCACAGTGGTTTCTTTGTGGGCGACAGGAAGGAAAGACGATAAGATGAGTGGTCGCCGTGGTGAAGATATGAGAGTTAAGTATAAGAAAGAGGAATATGAAGAAAGATATCACTTGACAGGCCGGGGTTTTTTAAGTTTTCTGACAAAAAAAAATCATGAGAAAATTGCTCTCATCCTCGATCTCATGGTGCTGTTTGCATGGCGTGTACATCTTTGAATATTTGTGTTTTTAATGGGCAGACTTTAAGGGTATTAAATCTTGATTAAACACATTTGAGGAGGATGATAGCATCATGCTGGATCTCAGTGGGTGGGCCCTGACTATCTATCATCTGTCAGCACAAAAGGAGGTCAGAAGGGATTGGGTTCATGTACAAGTTTAGGCTTAAATGGTATTATTTATTTCTTTATGGTATTATTTATTTCTTTATTTATTCCTTTGCTGTTGTTGATGTTGCTTTGTTGATTTTAACTGTTTTGATGATTGATGATTTTAATTGTTAATCGTGTTTTGTTATTATTGTTTTATATGTTATGTAAAGTGTCCTTGAGTGACGTGAAAGGCACTTCAAATAAAACGTATTATTATTATTATTATTATTATTATTAAATTTGGCAGAAACTGTAGTGAATTATCAAATAACAGGTTTTTCAGACTAATTTTAGAGACCCACTACGATGAAAATCATGTTTTTCTTATTGTCTTCATGTTCAAATGGCATTTTTCTGATTCTACAGGACATATCATGAGAAAAGTAAGTGCAAAATTGCATCTCTGAGTACTTCTGTATTCAAATCGCTGTAAATCTCTGGCAGAGGTTCAGATTCAGTGAGATTTCCTACGTAGCAAACTCAAGCTCCACCCGCAGAGCCCCGCTATGCAGGCCACACCCAGAAAAGTAGAGAGGACGATTGCAGATCAAGTGTTTGTGTTAGCGGATTGCAATGCTCGTAAGAAAGCTAATTGTGATATTAGCTTTCATTGTGTCCCCAAAGACATTAGTGTCAGAGAGCTGAATTGCTCCTATGTTACCTACCACTTCTACTACACTGGTAATGTTAGGCTGCAAGCTAGCGTGAAGAGACGTGTGCAGAGCAGCGCTGTCTCCGCCTACGACTCAGAGGTGAATTGCTAATGATCTACTTGAGCTTTGTGGAAGGAAAGCCCTTGAAAATGACACCGGTAAAGGGATCTTGACTAAAAACTTTTACTTTCGTACTAAAGCAGGCCAAGAAACTTTTAGACGATATTAACAGTGGGGGGTTATTGAAAAAATTTGGAGAGTAAAACAAAAGTGGAGCTTATTTTTATGGAAATTTATGAATTAAGTGTCACTTTTCACTGTCACAGTAACACTTACAAATCAATGAATTCGGATCCGCCTCTCTCTGGGACAAATTTACAATATACCCAACGTTAACCCATTCATATGTAGGTTCTTCTTTGCATAACGCAGTTGATGCAATGACAAACTGCATCTACAGATAGTTTATGGATGTAATACTGAGCCTATGCGGTGACTCCCACTACAAAGCTTGAGGATTACAACCATCTGTGATCGGTTCATGTACTGCAGATGATGTAATCCACAAATTCTGCAATGTTTGGTTGAGTCTTTGAACTATTTGCTCATGCAGTTACACATACAGAGCCGAACTTTACTTATGAGACTCTCAGCCTTCTTTAAATCACATTCTTATACCCTGTGATGTCACTAACTTGTTGCATAGCATGACTTTTTCATTGTTTTGTTGTCCTTCCATTAACTTTTTTGGAATATGTTGCCGGGATCATATTGATATTAAGCATATATCATTTATGCAATAGCAAAATATGATAATTTCAACAGTTTTCAAAGACTATTTTCAATCAGAAACATGCTTGGTGTGATTTGCAAACAATTAAAATCTGTTTTTGTCAACATTTTACACTGCGTCCCCAACTCTTTTGGAAATAAAGCTGTAGCTTATGATGTTCTCTTTGAAAAATAAACTGTCCCTCTTCTCCAGAACAACAACGTCTGACCAATAAATCATAAAAGATCAGTTACATAACTTTTATTCTGGTGATACAAAACATTTCCTCTGCACTCAAGTGGAGGAAAACCAGCCTTTACTCGGAAGTAGGATCTTCCGAGGAGCTTTTAAATGCAGCGTGAACCCAACATTTACCACGAATACACACTGATTTACACGCTGTAGGTGGGGGGAGCGGTTGGAGGTTACCATCATGTCTATATAAGGAGAAAGTGTGCAGAGCCTCTGCTGTGCTGGCAGGTTAATTGCATGTTATGTTGACGTTTAAAGTGCTTCTTTCGTGGTCGCTTTCTCAGAAATGGATTTAACCCCATCTTTAAGGATATATTATTACAAGTTTGAACAATAATACTGGTTCTGTGCTTAAGAATAGAAGTACGGTTCTAATTAGACCCCGATCCGGACTCAGGAAGCAAGTTCTGCTTGAAGTTTTTTCACTGAACCCTCTTTTTAAAGCGGCTTTCTGCTTGAGTATAGGTGCACGATGAACCTTTGTTGTTTCAGCTTTAACACATTGCAATGCATCATGTGATTTATGGTTGCATGGCCCTTTAGTGCTGAAACACACATGTACATACACACATGCACACTCTTTATATATATATTTAACCTTCCAGCGCCTGTTTAAACTATGCATTATATTGAAAAAAAGAGTGCAGGGTGATATTTCCCTTGTTCTCTTTAACGATTGATTTCATTGATTCCTATAGGAGGATTCTTGTACGTGTTTCGTGACCTTGAGGACCAAATGTGATCCAGGTTTGGGTCATACAGCTGTTAGATTTGGCAGCATTTTCCGGTCCAATCCAGGGCCAATTTAGACCGAGAAGCGGGCCAGCTTTGGTCCATAGTAGGCCGGTGGATGAGATGCAAGTCATTTATCACCATTCTGGCATGAGACTGACAGGCAAGGCAGCCAGATTTAGTCAAGAGCTGGACGGAGCTCCTTAAAATACCTGCAGAGGCCTAGACATGGGTCCTTACACTTTTTTTTTTCTGATCTCAACAGTTTCATAAAGTTTTTAAAGTAATGAGCACTGTGCAGTCATTAAAATATCAGACATCATTACACAGTTGGAGAAATTTAATTTGTCGCCCTAAAAGGATTACAAAGAAGAGAAACCAGTGCAGCAGTTTGATGCAAAAAAAGTAGATCTTAGTATGAGAAGTATCAGATTGAGGATCCAACTAATGCAGTAAGATTGCAGGAAAACAATCTGTGTGGTGAGCGAAAGAGGCAGACTTCAAAACCTATTAACAATCTATAATAATTCAACTTTAATCCATATCCAATATACGTAAGCATAAAAGTGCAGCAGGATGATTGCCATGTCCTCTTTTTTGGTTCGTTTGTCCAGGGAAGTTTATAAAATCCTTCAAATATCCGCGGCTTTGAAAGTAAGTTTCAAGTTTGTGTCACGTGGACTTATTGAGTTAGAAGCGTGAAAAGGCACACAATTCGACCTGAAAAACTTTCAAAATTAACTCTGACTCTGTGACTCCTCCCCCGGCGTATTCGTGTCCTCTTTATGGGAAGTCAGAATATGGTCACCCCGATGTTTGCAAATATATATCATCACAAATGACCAGGATTCCATGCAGATGTGACTATGCGTTTGTGTTTATTTGCAGAGCTGAGAGTGCAGTGGTGGATATTAATACACGTGTTGTTATGCATTAGCATTTGTTCATCTCTGTGTGCGTTAATGGATTTAAGCATGCGTCTGTAGATATGTGTAAGCATTCATGGACTTTAAGTACACATTTACCAAACTAAGTACACATTTGAAGAGCTGTGTACACATCCTCAGGTCTGAGCTGTGGTTCTAACTCTGCGTATGTGGATTTTGATAGCTCTCTTTAGCAGCTGAGCTGAACCTGCAATCCGTGTCATCTCCCTGAACTATAACTGGAATTACTGTTTCCTTTATCCAAATGTGCAAATCAAGCTTTATTTTGTGTCTTTTCCGTCAGATTTGAGATCTGTAACTCAGGGATGGCTGCAGGTATTGGATGGGTTTCGCTTCTGAGCTTCCCCGTGTGCAGACAAGTGCAGTTATGCAGAACTCCAACAATGAAGCAGCCTGGCACGGCTCATTTCGTGATGTAAACCTTTGTTTGATTTTGCCGCAGAATGTTTCTCTTGCACTCAGCGAAGCTAAAGCCACCGATCATTTATCATCTGATCATTAATTTGTTCCTTTGCATTAGCTTCAAACAAGACATGATGTTCCTGACGTGCGCATTAACCCTTAGCTAACCTTTTCATGTTGAACACTGATAAATGCTGCCTCCCTTTTCATGCTCTCCTCCATTAGTTGTTAGTTTTGGATTTCTGGCTCATTTCACAACTTGTGTGTGAAATGAGCCGCCACATGTGCGGCTATGTTTGCTGCCAGAAGGACCCCATCCATCACCAATACAGCCATCCATCCATCTGTGCATGAACGTGTGTGAAAACAATGCACAATAGAAGCTGTGTGCGGGTGTCAGGCCACGCCCACTCTCTGCTCAAGTGGCACGAGGAGACAGGTATTTAATGCCCCTATTGTTTCCCCCTACTCAGACACACACACGCAGACTGATATAGACGTGTAAGCACACCTTAAAGGATGTGTACGTCTCTGAGGTATTTCCTCCGTCTAAGCTGCGAGGTGACGGGCTGTCAGAGCCCGCCGATTAGAGCGATGATTATACAGGCAGGTAGGGAGGGTTGTGCACGTTTTCCTCTTCTTCTTCTGCTCTGGAGTCTTGTGTGGTCCAACACACACCCACGAAACGGGCGTCACAATGAGCCTATTGTCTCTCTCGCATAAGCTTGAGAGTGAAGGAATGAACGAGGAAGAACGCAGGGCTGAGAAACTGATGAAAATAGTCAAAATGAGTCATGCGAAAGGGAATCAAAAAGCAGAAATGAAGGCGGAAAAAAGTTGAGGATGCAGCAAAAAAAGGGATTAAGAGAGGAGAGTGGAGTTAGAGCTAAGACTTGCTGACAGCTCTGTAAATACGGATTAAATCGTACAACAATCACAGCCTCTTTTATTGACAGGCGTGTTCAAACTCCTGCAGAAAAGACATGAAAAATGATTGCTATGGTTTAATACGACAGCGTTTGATTCAAACTAAATAAGCATGTGGGTTTCCCTTTATTTCATTAATTCTCCCAAACACCCACCACCAGCGGCCGTTACAACGCAGCTAAACTATCTGAGAAGATGTTCCCAACAAAGACGCCACAGTTTGTGCTTTGGCTCCACCGATTTCGCTCTTACCTGCACCTGTAATCACGCTAATGAGCACCCACTTTAAAAGAGAGCGAACAAAAAGGGCCTCAGAACTAGTTTAAGTTGGCGTCACATAGATGCACCATTAAAGACAACTGTTTATATAGCCCGCTTAGAGATACCATAAAGTGATGGGAGAGCTCTGTAATTAAATCACTGCAAATGTCAAAGTCATATATCAGTCAGTGGGGGTGTAATACTTCTAAATGAGCAGTTTGATGCACTGCTGAAGGGAAGAGAAAATGTTGTACAGTCTGTTTAATTATAATGGAAATCCCCCAAAAACATGATTATAAAGAACTGGCATAAAACGGCCTCCTCTAGTTTCGCTTTTGTATGTTGTCTTTTATCTCTTAACAGCTTCTGAGATTTTTATCTGTATCGAAGGGAACAATCCGCTGCCGGCTGTGACTCCAATGACAAAACAATTAAGCAGCAGGTTTTCTTACTTACCTCTGGTAGTAGCGTGCTAAAAGTTTGGTTTCGGTCCAGGTTATGAAATGTGAAATGAGGCCGCTGTGATTCACGAGGAGAATAGACTATCAGATAGCAACAAAAACTATACAGAACAGTCTCAGTTTCAGAGTCTATCAAAACCACTTTCTGTCTGTCTCACTTCTATATGAGACTTGCTGTGATTGTTTGCGATTCATTGGAAATATTGAATCAAATCCAGCACAGCTCAGTTACATTGGAACATGTAACCCAGAGTGAACCTCCGTCCAGAGACTCTCTGTACTAAAGGACCAGAAATTCCATTGGTGGATTTGATCTTCAGGCCCTCAGGCAGCACTGTATTGAAAACACACATGGATCTGTAGTGGAAATTACCGCAAAGTTTCGGGAACAGGTTGTTCAAATGTTCATATGTTAAATGTACTTCTCGCTTATTCCCAAACTTTGAAAAACTGAACTCTGGTGAATCATTTGAACCCCAGAAGGCAATCAGGATGGAGATATGCTGGTGACACATGTCAACAACAGATCAGTGAAGGAAAAATAAGGACAATAGTGACAGGACAGACACCGAAGTAGGATGCATCAATCAGTATGAGATAGACAGGAAACCAGACACCGAAACATCCAGTTAATTTTCAAAATAAAACACTGTCACCTGCACCAAAAAAGGCCATGGTGAGCGGAGTTAAGGTCCTTACACACCGGGACCAATTTTTTCGTGCAATTATTTCATACGTCAATATTTTTTTCGAACCCGTATCCTGTCAATACAACCGTTTACATCAGCGACATTTTCCCGTCCTGCGATATTGCGGCATTTTTTCGTATCACGGTTGATTTTTCTAAAGTTTCGCATACTGTGTGTCCACTTCTGACCAATCAGATTTCGTGTTGTTGCGACGTCAGATTCACAGGTATATCCAACATGGCCGACCGGCTGATAGTTTACGTGTCTGAGAACAGAGTGCTTTTTGATAAAAAAACACAAATATTACAAAGATAACAACCTGAAGGACAACTTGTGGAGAGTCATAGCGTCGGATTTCTCATATGACGATGTTTTGTGTGCTTTAACAGTTTGCTAAACGTCTTTGTTTTAACTTTCATCTGTGCTAAGTAACTTTAGCTCGTAAGCTAACCTGTTCAGATACAACATACCATATGTATTTTCACTGTCTCAAACTCAATGGTGTTGCTGTCACAGCACCATTAGGTCTCGGTTGTTACCTTATGTTTATGGATTATAGTTTAATGTGCTTATCTGGTACTGACCCCGACTCAGTACATGCTATCATGACAGACAGTCATCTCAACACTAGTGTCTAATTAGAACTGAAAAACAGTCAGTCTGCTGTTGTGTCAGTCTTCTCGCTTCCACCGGGACGTGTCTTTTTCCCCCCCAGAAAGTCGCAAAATTGCATCGCACTTGATGTGTATAGTCAAGCGCGTCAAAATTCGCCTCTGAATATTTCTTGATTACGTAGGGTCGTATATTTGTGTCGTTCCCGGTGTGTAAGGACCTTTAATCAACAAGTTAGAGGTTTTTAGAGCCCATTATGGATGTAGAAAACTGTTAATGTGGTTGAAAACACAGTTGAGGGACGGAGAGATAATCCGGATTGGAGTGGAGTCGGACCCAACATGGATCTGGTGGAATTTCAGAGTTAAAAATTCAGACTTTTTCTTTTCCTCTCCTCTCTTTTTCATGATCCACACCCATCCTTCCTTCCCTTTTTTCTTCTTTTTCTTTCTCTCCTCATGCCAAGAAGTAACAGTGGATCCCCCGATGGGCTTCCTCAGACAAACAACAGCAAGAAGTCCAACATTAGAGACACGAAGATGTGCAACGGTAACACCTACGCTTGAAAGCTGCAGACACACATAGACACAAACACAGACACAGACATAAACACACAGACACACACTCACACACAGAAGAGGCCATAAAAACAGACAGACCGAGAAAACTCAGACACACATTAACACGATCATTCATAAACATAGACGGATATTCACACTCTGAGACACACCGTAACCCCTCCAGGTATTCTCCGGTGTTTCTCCAAGTGTGTTAGTTTAACCCGAGGATAAGGACAAAAGCAGTCACACCTGAGGGAGATTTTTAATGTGGTTATACACGTCTAGACGAGGTATATCACTGCGATGGTCAGCAACCGCAAACTGTGAGTGAGAACACAAGGAAGCTGGTGTTAGCTTCAGCCTCCGCAGCCAAGAGAGTGACCAGTTCAGACACGCAGCCCTCGCCGCCGCACATACATCAGGCTTAAGTAAACTCCGAGTCAAAGAGGAGAATGAGTTAAAGGTTTTGGGTTTGTGTGCGAGCAAGTAGGACACACAACTCCTCCGTCAGACCTGACCTACTTCACAGTGTTTTCAGATGGTTTGGAATTGAAATGTAAATGTCAGTCAACATGTTACACGAGCCGCTTGATGATTATTTTAGTGGACTCGCTGTTCACTTGATCCAGTTTGCTGTCAGCGTCTGATTACCGGCCCGATTTATGATGCAATTTGTTCGCTCAAATTAGGCTGTTATGAAGGAGCTGAGAGTAAAGTGTTTAAGACCTGATGCAGGTAATTAGAAACGTTCTGGGAATTACAGAAGAAAACCGTCAACGCAGTTTGATTGAACGCCGACTTTCCTGGCTGTTTGTTCGGACTGGAAAACAGACTCTCCGACAAGATGAATGCTTGACTAAATGTGTAGATTTTAACCTACAGGATCGTGCAAAAAAAGGGGGGATTAAAGGAGCAGTCCGCAAATTCGAGCTTAAATGAATCAGTGTGATGTTCTCCGGCTGACCTAAAACCACAAACCGAGAGAAGCGTCGACCCCTGACACCGGCCACGCTCACACACACACAACCATCCCTACACACACACTGACGACCCTGGTAACTGTTGCTGTTTGGCCCTCACACAGAGAGCCCACCCCCCACCTCAGGCCAACCTTTGCTCCAGAAGGCAGTGAATGGTCAAAGCAGCCACACAAATCCAGAAGTCCCATCAGTTTTATGAACTTCTGCACACAGTGATGCCTGATGGGAAATCTTTACTTGCACTTTCTCTCTGCATACCACGCATGCATGTGTTTGTGTGTGTGTGTGAGGCTGCAGGTTGATGAAATCGCACTAATCCTAAGGGCCGATAAAGCCCTGTTGGTGGCAGTCCGGGAGGCCTCCAGGCGCTCGCCCTGCCCGGCCCGGCCAGGACCAGGACCAGGCAGGGACCAGGAGCCGTAAGCTGCTTTCTCTGTGTCAGCCGCCTCATGCCGCACCAAGACACAGCCTGTGCTGGTGCAGCAGAGGACGGGGCCGCACAGTACCGAAAACAAACCCTCGTGCGTGGATGTGCTGCAAAAACACAACCAGAAACACACACATCAGGGACTGAGTGATGTTGGGTTTTCTTTAAAAACACACTTGATGATCTCTTGGTGTCTTTCCTACACAGACTTCTCACTTAGGAGAAGTTTCAAAACCCTCATGAACCACCTTAAACACAAGACCCTCCTCTTGGCGCCAGTGCCCAGCTGTAGAGCATTCTTCCATGGTGCAATGCTGACACCATCAGGCAGAAATGAAGAACTGCAGGCAAAAATCTCTTAAGGTGGACTGGTGAAGATAACAGACTCGGATCTTTACAGGAGGAGTAAACTCTTGCAGAAAAAACTAACCCTGTGGCAGCCTTATGTGGTGCTGAATTGATTTTATGAAGGTTATAAATATAGATTTGAGATGAGCTCCTTTTTAAAGGAAGCAAAGATGCCGTTCACAAATTCACCAAGAGAGTGAAAATGTTGAGGAAGGTAAAGGTGGTCAGGAGAGGTCAGACACTCTCCTCTAAGGCGCATAAATGTACACACATGGTTGTGTTTTTATAAGTTAGACAGGCATGAATTCACCTGAGACCAACCCGAACTTCTGACCAAAAGCATGACTGTCCAAAACCTGAAGTCTGGTCACCCAAACAGTTCATGGTTTTCCTTATGGGGCACAAAAAATAAATAAAAAAACATCTGGAAGAACATCAGCCAACTAAAGAAGCTCATTTGCCCCCAGTTAAGAAAAAGGCTGAGTATAAAAAAGGTTCCCATAAGACTTAGTCCTTCAGAGGTGAAGAAATTAAGAGTTTCAGCAGTTTAAGTTTAAAAGTAATGTTCCTCAATGTGAGGTCGTGAAGAACTGAAAAGCTCTACAGTAAATAATATCATGACAAGGTTCAGAGAACCAGGAGTAAGCTCTGTACCAAAGTGATTAGGGGGCAGCTGAATGACTATGATCTTCGGGCCTCAGGCAGCGACTCATTAAAAACAGAAATCACTCTGTCGTGGAGATCACATCTAAAAGCCATTGTCTTCAACCACAGTTCATTAATGCATCCACAAATGGTAGTAAGAACTGGACCATGTCAAGAAATGTGGAGAGGATACCTTGTGCAGCAATGTTTCATAATGAACAGCAGCAACCTCCCCAGGCCTGAGTGAACTTAAGTGGACCAGTCCTGGTCTCTGAAGAATCAGAATTTAACCCTTTATTTGGTAATCATGGACACTGCATCCTCCACACCTTCAAATCCAGAATCCCTAGGAAGACGAGGCAACACATGTAGTACACAGCCAGAGCAGGGGCCCGGTTCCGTGATGTAAAAAATTATTGTTTATTGCAAAAATACACGATGAAGCGCTGTTTAATGTAAAGTTGACGCGCGGAACAGAAGGATGTGGAGTGCTGCTCAAGGAAACAAATAAACGCAACAAATGGCGACTCTAAACTAGAGTGGAAAAATGTCACTTTCTGAAATCAAAACAGCAGTTAAAACGAAACAAAGGTGAAAGGAGGGAAATCCCTATCCATTACAATTCAACAAAAAAAAGACATACAATTAAATCACCTCCACACACATATGCCAACACAGACACTACCAAGGCTCCGCTCATGCTGAACAATATCTTCAGGTTTAGGATCAACATCTGCTGCCGTCCAAACAATGACATTTTCAGAGGAGACCTTCATATTTCAGCAAATACAATGACAAACCACATTCTGCAGGGATTACAACAGCATGGCTCTGAAGCAGAAGAGTCCTGCTGATAAACCGGCCTACCTGCAGACCTGACTTGACACCTATTCAAACTAGAAAAGCACTCGGAGAGCGCAGACCTCAGCCAAGCAGCTCATGTCCCCCCTTAAACAAGAAATGCCCTGATGATTCGAACCCAGGACCTTCTGGTTGTGAGGCGACAGTGCTAATCACTACACCACTGTGCCGCCTATCTACACCACTGTGCCGCCGATTGGTTATCTTTCAGCATTGAAAATTCCAATGACACCCTTATTTTTGTGTGTTTTTTAATGGGATCCTCCTGGGGCTGAGGCGTACCTCTGGTGAAAATTTCAGGTCAATCCATCTGTTACTTTCTCCTTAAAGTTGCTAACAGACAAACAAACATACAAACCAACGCTACCGAAAACATAACCTCCTTGGTGGAGGTAAATATTATGAAGCTTAAGATCTGACCACAAAGACTGCAAACTGCACAAACAAGAACAGTTTCCACTTCTATGATACGTGATACACACACAAATATTGCTCATATGAAGGAAATATCTGCCTTGTGCCAATATAGTGTAGGAGTGATCCAGCTCACAATGCAATACCAGAGTTGCCCAAACACCCACGCGCCCCCGCAGTATGACTCGTGTGGTGCTGCGGGGTCAGGCTCTCAGTGTTCGGTAAGTTGGGTAATACACTTGGTGTGTTATGTCTACAGAAATTAGATAGTGAGAGTCGTTTCGATGATTTATGCATAGGTTTTTGCAATAATACTCAGAATTTCATAAAAATTACAAAGAAATGAGATGATGAAAAGAGGGAAGCAAAACATCACAAACAACAGAAAAAAAAGGAAGTGTAAAGAAGAAGAGCAACATGTAATCCTTCCTCTAAAAGCATCCAGTCTGACAGTTTGCAGCCTGTTGCTGTAGACATGACCATATATGGCGAACTCCGCAAGGCAACAATGATATGAAAAAAGAAAAAATGCACGTCTGGATTTAGTGTAGCTGCAATCTTCAAATACACCCAGAGGGATAGACATTCACATCATGCTCATAACTTGTGTTTCCAGCTCACAGTAAAACGTAATGTGTCTGCGTGTGTCTCTATTGGGATGAAAGAGCTTGAAGATCAAGCGCATCACAATAACAACACCAGGGACCTGCAGGGATAAAGAGAGCAGATTAGATAAAGTGGAGGAGATTGGAGACACAATAGCCAGATGGGAGAAACGTGAGATAACAGGAGCAGGGAGACACACCACAGGACCACCGCTTTGGCAGGAGAGTGGACCTGCAGGAGAGTCTGGGGCTCATATATACGCACAGATAATGGAATTTTAAGGCACTGTAGCACACACACACAGACACACAAACACACTCTGAATGTTCACTGCTGAAAATAATTGCACAGATTTACTATCGGCATGGTCACATAGTGTCCAAAACATAGTTTAAAGTAGTTATATTTCTGTTCTTAAAGATTTTTAAAGGGGCGAATTTTGACGTGGCTGACTATACACATCAAGCCCGATGCGATTTTGCCGGAAAAAGACACATCCCGGGGAAGACTTTTCCAGGGGAAAGTCCGGCCTCCTTCCCCTCTGATTGGCTAGAAAAGCTGGAAACGTTATCACACGCTCAAGCCAAACAGTCAGCACCTACAGCCAATCAGAAGCGAGAAGATAAGCACATGAAACTATGGTAACAACCGTTAGCTTATGTTAGCACAGATGAAAGTTAAAACAAAGACGTTTAGCAAACTGTTAAAGCACACAAACCATCGTCATATGAGAGATCCGACGCTATGTTGTCCTTCAGGTTGTTATCTTTGTAATATTTGTGTCTTTTATCAAAACGCACTCTGTTCTCAGACATGTAAACAATCAGCCGGTCGGCCATGTTGGATATACCGCTGAATTTGATGCCGCAACAACACGCAATCTGATTGGTCAGAAGTGGACACACAGTATGCAAAACTTTAGAAAAATCAACTATGATCTGAAAAAATAAATGCCGCAATATCGCAGAACGGGAAAATGTTGCTGATGTGAACGCTTGTATTCACAGGATACGGGTTCAAAAAAAATATTGACGTCTTAAATAATCGCACAAAAAAAAAAAAAAACACTCCTGGTGTGAAAGGACCTTAATTTTACACAAAATTAACCCTTCATTGGTGGAAGTTTTACTGGACTTCAGGCCTCTTACTCAGATGCTGGTTTTCTTTGCCAGCACGACTTTGTACCTGCCCAGCACCAAAACTACCACCAAATGCTTTGCCAGCTAACCAGGACATAATGGGGATGAATGGCCAGCCAACTAGTCGTATTTGAACCCGACAGGGAATCTGTAGGATACGTTTCAAGAGGACGATGAAACCATCTGACTTGAACATGGAGCAAAACTGATGCAGATATTCACAGTCCAAGAACTGAGTGTGCAAAAGAACATACTTTTCAGATGTTGGACATTTTTGTAGCTAGCATTCAGCTGAATTATCTCAACAACCCTCCACTACAATTAAGAGTCCAGGCTACAAATAAGTGCACTTGAAAGGGTTCCAGTAAAACCTCAATGCACAAGAAAACAACTTAGAGTCGAGCTATTAAGTTGATCACCAAATTGCAACAAAACAGACCTTTGCTGTCTTTTATGTACGCCATTTTAAATCCTTTCACACTGTGTTCCTAAATGTCAGAAAGTACGCTGTTACCTGTAAAGATGTGAACTGGTTTAAAGCAGGATCATCATTTTAAGGTATGAAGGAGGTTTAAGATATGAAAAAGCAAAGTAAACCACGTTTCTCTGTCTTTATGTGCGGTTTAGGTATAATCGCATGGCTGGAGATTGTCGTCTTTTGTTTCTCTTTTCTTCAGCTGAAGTGGGATCAAACCAAAACAACATAATTCTGGTCCTCCTTCGTCTTAGGCCGCCACAATGTGTTGTCTTTGTCCTCTCTCATATTTGACACAGATTAGTGTACTCTGGCAGTAAAAAAAGCTGCCTTTTTCCTTTAGGGAGACATGGATTTAATGAAAACAGTTTGCAGGAGTGGAAATACAGAGCGTGGGCCAAAAAAAAAAAGAAAAAAAAAAAGGAAAGAGAAGCAAAAAACTTGAAGGAAAACTGATTGCACTGAAATTGTGATTAGAGGGACTGGCTCAGGAGAGCCTGGAAATATTGTGGTTTTCTCCCAGATATGAATCAGTTAGAGGGTTAAAACAACAAGCAAGCAAAATTAGGAATAAAGCTGATCTTGGGAAGTCGTGTTCCCGTTATTTCAGCTACTATCAGCATGTTTAGCTGCTGTATGACGGAGTTTCATCCCGGCGAAACGTCACAGTTTTACTGCTATCGGGAAGTAGAAATGATTCACCGATAATCAGCTGGACAGGGCTTGGGAAACCCAAAAGGCAGTGTCACATAACCATCTTACTAACGTCAAAACAAAAATGAGCTGCGGAGTATCTTTTGGACTGAAAGGCCGGAGCTGAGCCAAGTTAAGCTAAAATAAACAAGGATGAGAATGGCCGTGTTTTGAGGGAAGGAATAGAGCAGATCTAGAAACCCCTGGCCTCTTTTCTAGTGTTTGGGTTTGGATGTAGGCCAGCCTTTGGACCAAGCAGTTTACTTACTATTATCGTAATTCGTCATAGGGTCCTTAGGGAGATTGAAGTGGGTCATGACGAGGGTGAATACTTCGCAGGAACTCTGACTGGTCAATGTGAGACAGCTGTGTGGCACATTTAGGCATTTCCCATGTCAGTTTTAATCCGGTTTTCACATTATTATTACTCATGACAAAGAGTGGACCACAGTACGACTGTCAAAACAAAAGTCAAAGTCATGAGACCTACACTAGAACAACTGCAGCACTGGTGGTGAAGCCCAGTCTCTCGTAATTATTATAGACACGATTCAATTTGAATCCAAGAGCTCAGAGCCGAAACAGGAAGTAGAGTGTCATATCAATTCATTTTAATGTTGTATTGTTTGTTTACTGACACCGACTCAACAGCTGTAATTTTATTGAGTCTGATTTGAAAGAATGGGCCTTCCCATGCAAAAGTGGAAGCTGCTACATCAGCTCAATATCACTTTCAAAAAAGACCATGAAGCACATTAACGAAAGTAACAACACTCAAAAACTTTTGGGAACTTTTCTTCAAGGAAATACATGATTCAAGCAGCAAATAGTTGACTGCATTTCTGATTACCTCTGCCAAGGAGGTTATGTTTTCGGTAGCGTTGGTTTGTTTGTTTGTCTGTTAGCAACTTTGCGGAGAAAGTAACAGACAGATTGACCTGAAATTTTCACCAGAGGTGCGTCTCAGCCCCAGGAGGATCCCATTACATTTTGGTGGTGATCCGGACAAAATTCTGGATTCTGTTTCAGAACACACAAAAATAAGGGTGTCATTGGATTTTTCAATGCTGAAAGATAACCAATGGGCGGCACGGTGGTGTAGATAGGCGGCACAGTGGTGTAGTGGTTAGCACTGTTGCCACATAACTAGAAGGTCCTGGGTTTGAATCCCGGTCAGGGTATTTCTTGTTTAAGGGGGAACATGAGCTGCTTGGCGGAGGTCTGCGCTCTCCGAGTGCTTTTCTAGTTCATGATATTATTTTGTAAATTAAGTCACTTTCACAACTTCATTCAGGCCTCTGCTGAGTTTTTGCATAAGAATCAATTGATATATATTGTGTTGAATAACATTTCTATTGTGCAAACTCCGTTTTAAGCTTCCACCTGTCTGCCTCTTTCTCTCTCCCTGGCTGGTGTCCATGAGTAAATGAAGCACCTGATTTTACTCTAATAAAGATTAAAGACACCGTCCACCAATAAAATTCCATCAGGTTATGTGTAGTCTTCTTCTGCATACAGCTACTGGTATTTCATATGTAAATTAAGGACATGTTTAGTTGTGAAGTAGATCAACTTAAGAGTTCCTGGACCTCTGGGAAGTACAGCCCCCAGATGGAGACTCTTCAATCACTCCAGAGCTAAATTCAGACCCTGGTTCCCGGTATCAACATGCACAAAGGTCCTCAAAAGGTTTCTTGTTCCTGCTGTGGGAAAGCACCCATAGCTCACTGACAAAAAGAGGTTAAAACTGCTGATAATGACACAGAATTGTATTCAAAGATCTGGTGTTGGTTGTGTATGTTTTAAGAAACTGGAGACAGCCCTCTATTAAGTTGTAGGGGATGAATCCTAAGGAATTCATTAGGTGATGTAGTTCTCTCAACTAAAAAACTTCAGTGAATTATATTTGAACACAGCTAGTCTTTTTTCTGCTAACACCTGGACACCATGCTGGTCCTCCTGTGCCCTCTGAGCTCCATCCTCACTGATCACCAGCCTCCAGATGAGGGGAATTTGTTTGCCATGGGGGTAAACAACCAGAGCCGGGATGGCTCTTGGACTCTGTTTCCTCTTCTCTCTGCATCTCGATGGTTTTTTGAGGATGAAGCCACATGAAGCCACATACTTCATCACCCTTATTTCACCACGTCGGCAGAAGTGACCATTGTTATGTGCAACGTCAGCCTGAAGTCGTTTGTGAAGAAACAAGAATTCACACTCAGATGTTCCCAGCTGCTGGAAGCATTCAAAGAAACCTCTAAGGTCAGAGGCCTGGCTCCGATCCTCAAGGGAACTATTTCTTCTTGTTTGATTTATTCCAAAACATAAAACAGTGCGTTATTGAATACAGCTATTCCATGTATTCACTGTCCTGTTTCAGATTGTTTATAAGGACTTGTACTTGGTGTACACTCTTCTTTGAGACTGTGAGGCCCTCATGGACACATGTTGGTGTTTAAATGAGATTGAAGCATAAATGTTTATGTTGGACCGACTCTTCTTTATCTACAAACTTCCTCCTTAAGTCCCATTATTTTATGGCCCCATCTATCATACTGGTCCATCTCTTGTGGTCCTTTGTCCACTTTATGTCCTTATCTCAACTTTATGTTTTCTTTGACCCCACTCTCCCAACGTTTCGCTTTTGCTCGCAGTCACCCGTTGCTTAGTGTTTTTTAACTTTACCCACTTGGTGACAACTTCCCTCTTCGACCACCCAAGTTCTTTATCCCCAAGTGAAGGTCACAGTCCTGTCGTTAAGACCAGCTGGGAAGAAGTCCTTTCCACGGACTTTCATCTTGAGTGTTAACATAGTCCCTGGAGGTTTAAATACACACTTTTAAGAGTCTAAAGTAGTCAAAAGTAGAACTCTATACTCTGTAAATCAATGGATAATGTGCCGTAAAGTGTCGCTTATGTAACCCCTTAATGTTCTGTGATTGTTGGTGAAACCGTAAACTGTCAAAGAAAGTTCCCTGGATGCTGAAAAGGAAGTGAAACCTGAAGTCGGCTCCCAGAAGAGGCCGGTGAGAAGAAACAAAAAGATGAAACGGGGGGTTCAGCGCGCCTGTCCCCCCGCACGTTATCTTTTGAGCACAAATTCATTCATGTGCGCGGTCCTGCTCACTGTGTGCCCGACTATGTGCCGAGTGTGTTCTCTCTTCGTGTCCTCTCCCCTGTGTCCATTATGGCGATAAGGCTCTCCATTGAAGTGCTGCCAGCCCACAGATAAAGAGCCACAGAGAAACTTTCTGTGAACATGCCGCTCCTGCACCCCACCGGTGCCAGGCTCACATCAACATCCCCTCCCCTGAAAACCTCCATGGCCCTCCAGGGTACATTTCTTCCATCCTCACTTCTGTCTTTTTCTTCTTTTTAATGAGCTGAAGAGGAGACACATTTGCAAGAGTACCAACGATCTCACATGGTCCAACAGTATTTGGGGGTCAGTGCTGGTCAACTGACTCACTGGTTTGTTTTGATGGATTATGTAAGAGCTGTGACTGTGTAAGATCCTACAGATAATCTCAACACAATGGAAGTTTTAGAAAGAGCAAAAATAACATGATGTTTGTGTTCAAGTATAATTATCCAAGCTCCAGAAACCAAAAGCGGCGGCAACCTGCAAGTGCCAAAAACTGCAGTCCCTCTGATGGCCACTTGGGGCTGGCACCAAAAGAAACTCTTTGCGCCTTTTGTTAATACGTCAAACATAAGAAGTTGTCTCACTAAGAACTGGTCCACATTTATGCAAGAGAGTCGAATCCTAATAACAAAATGATATGAAAACTATGATATTAACTTTCATCATGCCCCTCAAAACATGAATGACCGAGAGCTAAATCCAGCAGCACAGACTTCGCCAACGATTCAGAGGTGAATTGCTAATGAGCTACTTGAGCAAGACCAAAACCGCGCCTACTCCTCCTTCTATCGTGGTGATGTAAGTGTGTTGTGTCACCTTGAAAATAATCTGTGTGAAACAGTGAGGATTTGAGCTATAAAGGAGTACTCGAGGCAAGTTCTCTTTCTTCCTCGATCATTATTCGTGATCAAGGTACTCGAGGAATCGTTTTAGGCCTAATTTGAAAAGTGTCTGTTTTGGGAGGTTAGAGTTGATTTTAGAAGATAAGCAAATACATTTTTTGATGATTTTAAGATTTGCATACTCCCTGACCAAACTGATTTCTGCCTACAATGATCCCAATCAGATCTGATAAACTCATGATTACACCTCGATCAGTGCTTTGAAGAAAACACG